CAATGTAGTCAAAGTCACGATTTAAAATTTAAAAACTTACGTTTTTATGTTTTTAGGTCACCAAAACGTTTCTATGCAGAATCGCAGTTTTTATAACTATTGTAGTTAAAAACACGCTTTTAGCCTTAAAAGCTTACGATTTTACGCTTCTAGATCATCAAAATGCTTCTACATAGAAACATGCTTTTAACTTAATTGGTTATATGGTTGTATTTAACGAATTATCGTTAGTTATGGTTTTAGATGAATTTGTTTAGTATACTCATGTTAAAGTAATGCTAATTATGCTACATATTTCGATTAAAGCTAATTGTTACTTATTATAAATTGTAGACGTGGGTAAATTCAAGAAGTTCTGGCTTCTTATTCGGTGGAATGATCGGTGACAAACTCCCACACTGGGATCGATTCTAAAGATGGTGAATCCACTATGTTGAAAATTGAGTATAGATTCACGTGGCAAGAACTCCATGACATTTGTGCATACATGATTTGTATTAGTGGATAGACGAGTGTTGGTAAAATTGCTTACCGTTATCCAAACATGAGTGGAGGCGGGGTAATGTACGAAGAAGTTATCATATATGATGATGAAGTGGTTACCATGATGTTACCATTCTTAACAGACAATACGGTCAGGCTGTCAGAGGTGTATGTTGAGATTGAGGTGGTCGGTGAAACTCATTCTCACCAATATTCTTATGATGATGGTTTTGCAGAAGGATATGAATTTGGTGGTAGTTCAAGCAACTATTAAGTAGGTAGTTCTGGAGTCGAGATGCCATGGGAAGAATACCCGTAGCTTGGTGACCGTTCTGAGCTTGCCCCATTTGTTGAGCCTGACGACATTCAATGGCCTGCTTGGGGGCCAGAATGGGGTAACATTGAGAACATCGTTCAATCTAGGCATACTTTGCATGAGCGTGAAGACGATGTTGGTGGTGCTGCTCACGATGATCCTCACGGCCCGAGCTATCCATTCACCTCCAGCGACGAGGAAAGTGAAGATTTGAGATCAGTGAGGATGAAGATACCGACGATGAGGTAGCATTCTGTGAGCCACCTATGCCATACTACACAGATGTCCCATCCTATCAATTATATGGTCAGAACGATACTCCTGATTTTTTCCCTATGATCGTGTATAATCCGGAGACCGATTTGGAGGTGGGTATAGTGTTCGCTTCGTAGGACGCTATTGCTAATGCTTTTAGCGACGAAGCCATGTGGCGGAATTTCGAGTGGAGGGTAAAATATTTTGATGACAAACAACTCCATGTCATATGCAAGAATGCTGGAGAGGGTTGTATGTGGCAACTACAGGCTGCAAATATGAAGAGAAAGGGAGCTTGGGTATTCCCACAGTCTAGAACAACCACATCTGCTCCTCTACCATACTATCCCAGGATCACCTCCAACTAAAAGCAAAGAAAGCGGGTGCAACCATAAATCACTTAATCGAGGCTCAACCAGATATTTCAATCAAAACTATTATGGTTGAGCCGAAGAATCGATTCCGTCATCTCCAGCTCGTTGGCTGACTTTAGACATAATCAACCATCTGGTTCGATTCCCTAGATAGTTGTGTCATTTCCCAAATTTCGCTTTGGAGTGTCAGTACTAGCAAGGAGGGATAGAATTTCATCAGGGAGCAAACGATTCAGCCTACTCCAATCTCAATACCTTGAATCACCCAATTGCATAATGGTTCTTCCTTTTCATTTTTGTAATGCAGGTGAGGAGAAAGTCCTCTAAGAAAAGCCCTTTGTTGATCCATGGATTAGAAGCTGGTTGACCTCCCATCCCGACACTCCAGCAGGTTGCTGACTTCATAATTGGCATAGCCCTCATGATGGCTTTCCACAACGAGGAATGATTGTTAGTCTACATAGTAGTGATGTTGTCACCACTATGCCTGAAGTACTTAGTCTATAAAACCTACACCCAAATAGAGTTTTCGTCATTGAGCATATGCTATGCCAGTTTGACAAGATATGCCATGCTGAGGTTCTTGGCAGATCTAACTCCAAGTATCTTGATCTTTAGGTTTACAGAGAGTACCCTATTGAACTAGGTGGATCTTCCCTTTTCCCATCTTTATAGCCTCAGATAAACCCCTAATTTTTTTTATCAATTTAATCGCATGAAGACATGGGAAGGACACAACACAAGCAAGAGTAACTCTACCAGCTGGTGATAAAGTTCTTGCCTTCCAAAAATCAGATACAATAGCCTAGATCGAGGTGACTATATATGAGTTTAGGGGAGGCGTATTCGGAGGCCCACGAAAAAAAGCTCACTCACCACATTCCATTATCCCTACTTGACAACCATAGCGAGGAGGATTCGACCCTAGCGTTCTCCCAACCACTTGGTTGGTTGTTTATTTTGCCTTTAGGAGTAGATTAGATTAGTTAAGAACCCTTCACCAAATTTCCAAACCGGTTAGATAGTAGTCTGAAGCAAAGTAATAGATAACTTAGTGTTCCCTTAGAATAAGAACGAGCCACTTTACTACAACCCTAACTAGGTTATACTTGGATTAGTTAGAATTGAATAGAGAGTGTGCATCGGCTTATAAATTTAAAACTCGATCGCTCACGAGCACGATCAGACACTGGTGTGTTCACTCTATTTTCTGCCTCTGTTGCGGTGTGTGTGCCCCCTTCAAGGATCGTATGCTTCTGCAGAGTGAATTCATTAGCCATCGAGCCCTTTTCTAGTGCGCCAATTGTTGATGCCCAGATATCCTTATCGCACTCCCGAAATCACTCTCCACCAAGAACACAAAATACGACCTCTTTCGACCAGTTTCAACTCTGACAATCTAGTTAGCGTGAGAAAGTGTGAGTATGGAGTTTTAAGTGACAGAGTCCAACCTCCGTAAATGGTTCATATTCCCACATTTATACATAAATGTCTCGAGTCTCGACCAAGATCCTCCAAATACGGCGAAAGGTACCTCCTGCATTAAATGTATGGTACTTGCCTGCTCATATGCCTGATGGCATCGTAGTGTAGCAGGATCAGGTGAGAGTTGAGACGCAACTACCAGGACGGTTAGTCACCCGATTTGGCCCCCCGATGCCCATTCCCTTTGGCTCTTCGTCATAGGGCCGGATCTCTTTTGGCATAACAAGCTCATTCTCTTCGATTCTCCTTCTTTGGGCAGGCTCTCTCTAGGCCCAACAAGATGAAATAGGACAACGAAGCTGTTTCTGAATTTTAACGGTCGGCAAGCAAAGGTAAGCTGAGACCCAAATGGTTGGCCTGCGTTCCAATAAATCCAAAATGAGCAGCAACCCACTTGCAATCATGTTGCCTTGGCCTCAATGACATGGATGAGTTGGGACTTGCGAGTAGTCACCTTGGCAGCCATCGGGTTACGAGCCCTCTCTTCTTTTTCTCTTTTCCTTTACCCTTTTCCTTTTTTACTTTGTTTTGCGATCTGATTCATTCATTCATTCATGGAGGAGGCATGTTGGTATGTTTTTCCTGCTCCCTTTTTGACTTTAGAGCCCAAAATTGTTGCTGTCTGTGTTAGATAGATGGTGGGAGCTCAGCTCAGCTCAGCTGCTACTATAACTTTCACTTTTAGCATTCATTCATGGAGAACCCCTAACCCAACAACAAAACATCTCAACTAAAGAACAATCAATCAATAATAATAAAGCAGAGCATATGATCGATCTCAAAGCTTCAGATTCCTTTTTCCCTTGTTACTTACCCACAAACCCAACACACCGAAATCCAGCACAAATTCTTTGCTTTCATATGGGTTAATCATTGCCTTTCCCTTTTGTTTCTTTCTTTCCTTCTTTTTATTTATTTATATATAAAACCGTCTGTTTTGCTAATGGGATTTGAGCCCTACAGAGTACAGAGAGAGAGAGAGCTCTTGATTGCAGCAGATCTCTTACTCGCTCATGAGTGTCAGAAATTCACTTATTGTTACTTACGGTCGTGAAATGGTGGATTTTGGCAACCAACTCACCAGTAGCATAGCAGAGTAATGCAGCAAAACGGGGAATTCCCCAACAGAAAAGAAGCTCAGAGAAGCCCATCTATGGCAAGATTGTTGACCTAGCAGTAGCTATAGCCTCTCTCTCTCAGGCTTCACCCCCCCAGGAACCCTTACATATATGGCAAAAGGGTATCTATCATAGAAGGAGAATAATAAGTAGATGCAGACAAAGTAGCCCCCAAAGAATTCCAGGGACAAATATACAATCTAATAACCTCCTCTGAAATCCAGTTTGAACAGATCAGTGAAAAGGGATTAGGACAGTGTACATGTAGGTCTAATGGATTCAACTTCAACTAAACAAACACGGATTAGGGCTTAGAATTTGCTTCATTTTGAATGGAAACAATTTTGGATGTACATAGCTTGTCTTGTAACAAATGCCAAGAACCAAAACCAGTCCCACCCACCCAACAGAATAATGCTCTCTCTTCTCTTTGCACCACTACTACTATACATGCAAATGTTCCTCCCGTTGATTGATTCCTTGTATATGTAATTCAGGACAAGAGGAAGAAAAGGGAGGAGGAGTGCTATTGAAATCCAAAAGACAACACCATCTGCAGATCTCCCAGAGGCTTTGTTTTTTTGGTAGTAAAGAAATGCTAACTTGAGGACAAAAGACACCATCAGGAGCAGCAGCAACAAAGAGCTAACTAACTAACTAAATGATCAGAGAGAGACAAAGAAGAAGCAACAACCCCAACTGAAAAAACTGTTGTTATTTGAATAATTGCAGAACCAGCAGCAGCAGCCATGCAAACGAAACTGGAAAATAAAAACAGGAAAAGGGGTAAACCAATTCCAAAGGGAAGTTTGCCATTTTTCCCCCCCTTTCCTGTTACCTTAATCCAATCCCCCCAACCAAAAGGAATCCCAGAAGAAGGAAGCAGCAATTATGTGTGCTTACAGTTACACACCAAATGCATCCATCCTTCTTACCTGTCAAAGAGTTGAAAGTAAACACCTTTCCTCTCTAATACAATCGCAGAACACTCCTAGCGATCGAATGTGCTTGATTCGTTTTCGCCTTCCCCCATCCTCCAATGCCTCCACCACCGCCGCCGCCACCTCCTCCTCCACTGCCGCTCGCTGGGGCTCTCCGGCTGCCTCGCAGCGGCGTCAAGTAGAACCTCAACAGACCATTGTCAACACTACTGGGCGAATACCTTGCACTCCTATTCCTCTCCAACACAAACTCCTCTCTCTTCTTCCTTCCAATTCCAAACCCATTATTACTACAAGTCTCTACATTGCTCTTTCTTCCACTCCCAAATGACCCCACACCAACGCCGCCGCCGACAGTGGCGAACCCGTTGGAGTGCCTCCAGCTCAGGCTACTATTGCTCCTCAAAAGCTTGGGGTTGTTGAACCCCGCACCCATTCTGGCATCTCCGTTCCTTCCCCCTCTTAGCTCCGGCCACGACTCCGAAAACGACCTCTCCACCCCATTTACCCTGCTGTAACGACTATCTTCGTCATCGTCTTTGTTCCCACTTCGCCGGTGTATGAACCCCCAAATGTTCCAAGCTTTCCCCCACCTCCTCGACTTCTTGTTCACCCCTGCCTTGCCGTTAGCAGAAGAAGCTACCGCCGATGCATTGTCTCGGAAACCCAAATCGAACGTCTCCACGGAGCAATCGTCCCGCAGCGAGTTGGAGTTGGAGTCCCTCCAGTCCCTGTCGGGAGGGACGACTGCAGCTGCTGGCAGCTTCGGACAGGACTCGACGGTCGCCGGAGACACTTTGGAGTTGGAAGAAACAGAGGATTTCAGCTCGTCGATCTCCGCCACCACGGCCGCCGCCGTCTTTCTGATGGAGTTGGAGCGGTCGAGGCTCTTCCTTCTCCTGGAGGAGGAATCGGAGTAATAATCCCTCGTCTGGATCGACCCACCGGGAACCACCGTCGTCTCGTCTTCGGCTGTTGTTACCGCAGCCGGCGGCGTGGGGTCTTCGACGGGGATTTGAGCGTCGGACCTTGGTACCACGTTCACCGGAGCGTCCTCGACGACGGAGAGCATGGTGGGCATTCTGGGGAAAGTTCTTCCGATGAGGTAACCGTCCCACGAGGCGCGGGGCTCGTCGAAGGAGTAGCGAGGGTCGTCGAACGATATTCTGCCGGCATCGAGCGAGAATCTCGGATCCGTGTCGCACGATCTACGGCCGAAGCCATAGTCGGCGATTTCCGACTGGGTCTCTCTGTACTGCCTCCCAATGGGCTTCTCCACCGGCAATGTGGCCGACCCTGGGCCACCGCCGTTCCGCCGCTTCTTCATCTTCTGCTTTTGCCTCCATTTCTGCAATTTCTTGCTGAATACAGAGGCGGCGGACCAGAAGCTTCCGGCTATCTCTTTGAAATCCCTCCCCGAGGAGGGCTTCTTGGTTTGGGAGTCGAGATCTATATGGTCTTTCATCGGCTTCAAAATTTCCTCCTCTTCTTCTTGAACCGCCGCCGGCTCTGGCTCTATCGCCACAATGGCTTCCTCTTCCTCCTCCTCCTCCTCTTCTTCGTCCTCTTCCTCGATTATTTCTTCAATTGGCTTGGCGTTGGAGTTTCTGGCAGTCAAAATGGCCTCGTCAATGGCGACTCTGGCATTGATGTCAGGCCGAATTTCAGCGACATTAGCGGCGGTTTCTTCTTCTCCTTCGCTCTCTGTTTCGATTTCGCCGTCTTCGCTGGACTTGAAAAGAGAAGCGGCACGGATGCTGGAGGTAGAAGCTCTGGGCTGGTCGATTTCTTTGCCTGGGTTCCGGTCGTCGTCCTGGGAGAACAAGGACCAGAGAGTGCTGCGCCCCCTGACGTCACAAGATTTCCTCTGGGGCTCGAAGACGCCGGAGAACCCTTCGTTTTTGGAGGCGGAGAAGGACTTGGTGCGGCGGAGCTCGGGGAAGAAGGAGGAAGGCTTCAAGCTCGGGGCAGCGGCGGCGGAAGAGTTGGAGTTGGAGGGCTTGAAGATGGCCCTAAGGGCGGCGGTGGCGAGGGGGGGTTTGCGGGAAGTGGAAGCAGCGGAAGCGGAAGCGGAAGCAGAGTGATCGAGGACAGCGAGGCGCTCGCAGAGGCATGAGGGACAGAAGCCGGTGAAGCTTTCCTCCGGGTGGCGGGGGCAGGAGGTGGAAGGACGGTGTGCCTGCGGTGGTTGCGGTGGCTGGAGCAGTGGTGGGTCGACGGCGGCGGAGGGATTCATAACCGGTGGTGGTGGGATGGAATGCCCAAATAGCTCATATTAAATTTGATGTCCCTGCGGAGAGTGTGAGCGCAGTGAAGAAGGAAGTGGGAATGTGAAGGAAGGTCTGTGTAAAAGAGTGGAGAGAAAAGAGAACTGTTTGGTTTCCAACGGGCAACCAGCGAGAAAGTGAGAGAGAGAATCAGAGAAAGAAAGGAAGGAAGCAGAATTATTAATAATTAATCTTTTCTTTTAATTTTTACCAGAGTTTTTCTTCATTTTTTCCTCGCTATAAATTAATTAACGTTAATCTTCTGAAGAAAAGAAAAAAAAGAGAATTAGGGGGAAAAAGAAAAGAGAGAGGAGAGAACCCGACGGCCCACAAACAGACCCGACTGGGCTGGACTGGACTTGTCTTTCTCTTTCTCTTTCTTTTTGTTTCCTTTTCTAATTATTTTTGCTTTTTGTGGGGGGTGGGGAGCTTGCTACTTTGCTTTACTACTCTGCTTTGTGTCTGTCTAGGGGAACTCACCTGTGAAAGTACCAAATTGGGCCTCCGCTAATCCAAGATCCAAATCCAGATGTCATCACATCACACACTCTCTCCCTCTCCTTACTTTTCTCTCTCTCTCTCTCCGAGTCACAGTCGGTGTGTATGTCGTCCTTGCGTTGCGTCGCATATGGATAGAGGACAGGACTCTAGTTTTTCGGCCATCGGCTCATTTAGGCCCAATCACAGATTTTAATTAAACCAGCCCAAAAATATTCTTGCCTACGTATTTATTGTTTACGTTTTTTTACCGACTTACTTTTTTTATGGGAGAGGCGATATTTGTGAAATCTAACCAGAAGTTATATTATATATAAAGAATTAGTGATATATTTTATACTAAAATTATGAATAATTGTGGTTCGATTATTTTGTACCGCTTAAACTGCCTATCGTTTAAGGTTCGATATTCGATATTTTTCGATCGGATCGATCAATACGGTACGGTTTCTTAAACATGAGAGAAGATCATGTGATTGTTAGTCATTCGATTAAGTCATTCATAGGTCTAATTTTTTTTTTTTAATTCAATAGTGAAAAACTTGCAGTGTTTAGGGGAGTAATTTATTATCTTTCAAAAAATATTTAAACTTTGAATTAAAAAGTGGTGGAAAGAGAAAAGTATGTCCCAAGGTTGTTAATCGTTGTTTATCCACGAAAGGTAAGAAGCCTAACGGTAAAGCTGGCGCGACAGTGAAGGATTGAGAGTTGCAGATCCTAGGTTCAAATCCAAGCGAGGCCCGTTGGTGTTCCTGGAGGTACAAGGCTGCTGGCGACGATGCCTCGTTGGCGTCGAATTTGATTGCAGGTGGCCCCCAAGTTTAGTAGGACCCGCTGTCACAAAGTGGCACGTGGGGCTGAGGTTCCTGTTTAATAAAAAAACTCGTTGTTAACCCTAAAAATTAACTTTGTACCACATCGGTTAATTACAAAAGATTTAATAGATTTACACGGTAAGCTCAACTTTAAACATTAAATGAGCTAGCTCACCTTATTGGATTGAGTTTTTGGGCCTAGGTGGTCCAACTCTCTCTCTCTCAGGCATGAGTGCCCGATATGAAATTAAGTGTAACAAGCTAGTGGGTATGAAATTTGGCTTTTAAAAACTAAGTTTGAAATTCTTATGGTGGAGTACCAAGCCGACAAGACGAGCTTGGTAGTGCCAACTCGACGAGGCTCCAAAAACTAAGTATAGAGATCAAGTTTGCAGGACAGGCTTGGTAGCAAGTTATAAAACGTGGCTCTTAAAAACTAAGTATGGCGTCCCGAAGTTCTTGTAACAGGGTAGCAAGGTACCAACTTAAGGATGCTCCAAAATCGAAGTATAAAGATCAAGTCGACATGGTACCAACTCGAGGAGACGACGATATCAAGATTGTTAGAGTAGGGGTGGGGATTCGGTTGGGGTTCACTCTTCCGAACCACAATCGTAACTGCAGCCGAACCTACCGAAACTGAAATATATATTATTCGGATCGAAATTTGGAATGAAAAGAGGCCTAATTCGGAAATAAGGCTCATGTCGACCAAACGTGAATTCCAAAATCGGAACCAAAAAACCGAATTTTGCGTGAACCCAAGGCTCTACTCCCGCAAGCCAGAGCCAACTAAATCCAAAGCCCACAAATTGACTGTCCAAACATATTACCTACGGGTAGCCCAACTCCCTCAATCCAAAAGCCCACCCAAACTCTTAAGTTCTAAGCCCAAAATTGGCAACCCTAATGTCTAAAGATTAAAAAGAAAAGCAACATCAAAATGACAAAATCCCAGCGTTCTTTACTTCCTACTCTTCTTCTGGTCTTCATTTGTTCCATGTTGGTTCTCAAAAATAAAAATCCCAAATCTCCCACCTCCCACCTCTCACAATTACAGATACAACAAAGGAGAAGGCCAAAAGAACTATCTAAAATATCCTTCAGAATCGGCACATCATCTGATCCACTAAGCACAAAACACCTACATGAGAGACTCATTGGACCTTCTTAACTTGTTAGTCTTTTGATGATCAATCCTGATAGTTTTCTAGAGAGATAAGTGGTTCTTGTGGCTATTTAGTGGGACACTCCAAACTTAGTAGATGTGACTACCTGTCCCTTATTTATACCCGGGGTAATTCTGACAAGATCCACTTTCATTTATCCTACGTCAACACCACATCAAATTCATTGTACCTTACAACGACGGTGCGCCTCGACCACCTAGCAATCTTTCACTGAAGATTAGGCGCATGGTGTCAACTTTGCTGATACCCATACTATCTTGGATGGACATCTATCTTGTCATCATGTGCTCTGATGGAAGCTCTCTGGATGGGCTTGTGTCTGCTCATAGCCCATCGGATAGCCTGCTGGTCTTGCTGCCAGCCTTCTTCTTTGCTTCGTCGGCCCACCAGCCTTTGCTTGTGAGCTTTTCTAGGAGAATGCCCAACCAGTGAATATGAGTATATGACACATGAAAGGACCTTAAAATACAAGAAAGTATGATATATTTCAAAGGTATTGATTTCTATCTCATTTGCAATATATACTTATAATTTAAATTTACAAACTTCTTTTCATCTTATGGATATTTTCAATTGTTTTAAATATAGAGAAAGAGCCAAAAGTAAACTAAAACCACACCACACCATCACAACTAGAAGGGAGAAGGGGTGAATCCTATCAATATCTCATTATTGCACAATCATCTCACTAATTATCCATAATTTTGTCTCACTTACATTTAATGAGATATATCTCTTTCGTTTTAAGTCGTATTTAATCTTTTTGCACAGAAAAATCATACTAATTGTGCTATTCAAAATGACACCCACTTTGATATATTTTGGAACATTTTGTTAAACATATATTACCAGTCTATATCATGATGCTTGGTAATACATAAGATTATATTACGGTGGTATGGTGCTATAAATATAGCATAGTGTAGAATGGTTGTATACATGATAGTAGGAATATACTAACCTCTTTTTACCACATATCATCACCGTCTACCACTAATTACCACCCTATACGAGAGTGTTTACGGTGGTATATTTGGTCCTGAGTTTTTCATGAATCTGTAGATCTTATAGATCATGATGAATTGTTTCTTTTTATGAAATTTTTTTGAAAATTAAGTAAAAACTAAGGTGGCAAAAAGTGGTACCAGATGATACTGGGTGGTACGGAATTTTTTTTTATCAAAAAATATAAAAAATGGATAATATTTTGTATATCACAATGGACTGGTTCCATTTATGCAAAAAAAAATCTAAGTCAAAACAATGAAGATATATGCAAATTAAAATAAGTATGAAAGATCATATTAATCTTGCCATTTAGATTTTGACGTTTAAAATGCACAGAACAAATCTAGTTATGCATTTGTGCATAACCCCTACGGTATCCACCAACCCTTTACCAAGGTAGAGAGAGAGGTAGGGGTTCTTTTCCGTGTCTTCTTCACTAAGATATTTCCTTCTCATATTTTCTTTCTCCCTTTGTTCTCTTTCACTATATCTCCCATCTTCACCTTCCCCTTTCCATTGCACCATTCTCTGTCTGTTGTTATTTTTCAACTTTTTTTTAGTTCTCAAGTCTCAACCTCCTCTATCTAGCCAACTGTCATTTTCTCTCTCCTTCTTGTGGTCAACTGGAAGTATTTTAGATAACCATGCACAAACAGTTACGTCTCGCCTGTTTGTGCACATTATCTACTTTACGCACCCTATTTATCAGTTGATATTGACACCACCACCAACAATAATTATTATGCATAACATGCTTCCCTCACCCGCGTAGCTCAATGGAAATAACAATAAAAAAATTGAAGAAAGATGTTACGGGAGAACCCAACTAGGCAATGGTATTTCTTGTCACTCCATTTTTTATACATTTCCCCTTCTATTAGAGCATCTTTATTCATTTCAATGGAATTACTTGTCTAAATCACAAATATTTGATCAATGAGATTTTCATAGACCAAGGCAATGTTGGAGGAACAAAGCATTGAAGAAACTTGGAGGAACAAATGAACTATAAAAAGAAATTTAAGGAGTTTTCATAAGAAAGAAGTGGTCCAATGACGGGAAAGTCAACTACAAGTTGCTATAATATGTTAAAACGAGCCCATAGGAGGAAGAATCGGCCATTCTGAAGAAGGCATGAGCGGCTTCCTAAGCAATGGGTCCAACCGCCCCTCTCTAAGTTGCAACCAAAACCATCAAGAACAGAAGTGTAACATCCCAAACCTTTTCCCGACAAAGATATTATCCGCTTTGGGCCTCGACCCTCACAGTTTTCAACTTGGGGTGCAAATCAAAGTGACTTCCCATAAGGTCACCCATCGTTATTTTACTCCACACGAGCATGTTTAACTTTGGATTTCTCACAAGAACTCCTCCATTTCACCCCAAAATGCGTTTTGTCAGTTAAGGTCGGTTTCTTACTTATGAACCATGGATCTCTCCCGTGATTTGTCAATGTGG